TCTGTGGTGGCTGTTTGTTTACACCGTTGATTTGCGCTAATCAATATACAGCACATTCATTAATACATATAAATGAATGAAAATATGTGTTTTCTTTAGCTAAATGCTCTGTTCTGCTAGCACAACACAAGCAAAGGCAAAAAAAACATGAATATCAATGAAAATGTGAAGGTGGCCTTTGCTGAAGTGACAAGGCAGTGATACCATTTTATGCAAAACTTTGTTATTCATAAATCTACAAACTAATGAATACGTGTTTGGGAACTACGACTTCCGATGGGTCCCCAAAGCTGGTGAATGGAAAGGAAGATGCTATATCGGAAATTATGATTTGCGACGGAAAAATGCACAATAGAAACTTGTGAAAGCCAGTTATACTTTCAATATATATTTTTCCTTTACTCTTTCCCTTAATTTCTGGTGTATTACATGCTCGGCCACTTATGCAAATTGAACTTGAAAAAAAAAAACTCCAATTATAACTATACGCCCTCTTCGACTGGCTTTGTTTACCCCTAGCTAGGCCAGACAGTTCACCAATTTCTATATCATTCCTATTGTTACTATAAACATTATCCTCTGTCTAGCCTCTTCAAATTATGCCCCTGCAACACTCTCACCTCTGGGTATTCTGCATCTTTGGGTAGAGGGCCAAATATCTTCTCCTCGAGCCTCTTCACTCGGTCTTCCAGGATATCTAGACTTTCGGGTTCGGTCGCCATGTCTGCACGCTCACATTCGAGTCCGAAATGAAATCGGACTGAAAAAAATAATACCAATAAAACTCAAATAATAATGGGTTAATTCTAACTTGTTTTGATAATTACAATGACATCTTAATTCCAGCTTCATTACTTTCAGCTATGATATGCTCCCCATTTTCAACGTTTTAAATGTTTGATTACTGCACACCGTAAACTGCGTAAAGTAGAACGATAATTACTTTATACAAAATTCATTCATCATTGAATAAATAAGCATTTCGTTTTTTTTTTCCAATTTAGCATTTGCATAATGGCCATAAAGTCAGCTTCCACATATTAACCCGTGACGTCATAAAATCCGCGATGCTTAGCGCGCGCCGCGATGAGTCACTTTCATGGTCGCGCATCAAAGAATCAGACAATTTTTCTTTTCCAGTTGAACATTAACCAGTCTCTTTAATTTTTGCTAAAATGTAACAGAAGATATAACGCATGCAAATATAAACGCAGACAACATAACCATTCAGGCGCGTTGCCTATCCATATCTTAATTCAGATTAAAGCTTTGCTCTTTACCGACTCTTTGTTATTCTATGAACGGTCTATGGTTGTATTAGAGGCTTTGTCTTATCGATAAGATTTCCTTCTACCAGAGCAAAGCAAAACGGTAAGTAATGACGAAAAAACGTTTGTTTGGCAATATTTCAGGAATAAGTATGAAAAATAAAATAGCATTAAGTCCTTATACATTCAGTACATTATACATATGTGTAACTATTGAACGATTCGTTCGTGGCGAGTTTGCAGAGCGTGATCTTTTACTTGAATAAAACTTGCCACACGTTCGGTAATGCGAATACTTGGCCAGGGTGCATTACGTTCGTCATGAAGCTTTGGAAGGGCCATTATAATGGCCGAGGGGGTGCCACTTGAAGAATCGAAGGGACATCACTAGAATTGTTGCAGAGGTACCATCGAAAAGCCCGAGGGGCATCGCTGGAATAATCGACGGGGTTTCATCGGAAAGACAGAAGGGGCGCCTTTGGAAAAACCGAGGCCATTGGGTTTCACTGGGGCCTTATAAGGCGTTGTAGACGCGCCATAGTCAACCTTGTTGACATCAGGTGTGTTGATTATGTTTTTCCTTATTCAAGTAGTCCTAAAAACAGTGACAGTACTGGATTAGTAAACCACTGAAAGGAGTTTCTTACGGGTGCCGCTAATCTTATATATTGTCTACTGAAGAGGGCGAAAGTCCTCTTGAGAATCCCAATACTTCATCTGGTATCATGATGCTTGTAAATAATTTCTCTTTAGCAGTGATTGGTATTAAGTACCAAATCTTTAACGATGTAATTTTTTGATACATGCATTATGCCTTGTATTTGGGGGGGGGGGGTCATGAGTAGACATGTTTGAGATAATGGGTGGCTGTGTGGAAAATAGAAAGAGAGAGAGAGAGAGAGAGAGAGAGAGAGGGAGAGGAGGGAGGGAGGGAGGGAGGGAGGGAAGGGGAAGGGTGGAGAGGAGAAGAGAGAGAAGAGAAGAGAGAGAGAGAGAGAGAGAGAGAGAGAGAGAGAGAGAAGAGAGAGAGAGAGAGAGGGAGGGAGGGAGAGAGAGAGAGAGGGGGAGGGGGAGGAGAGAGAGAGAGAGAGAGAGAGAGAGAGAGAGAAGGAGAGAGAGAGAGAAGAGAAGAGGAGAGAGAAAGAGAGGAGAAGAGAGAAGAGAGAGAGGGTGGAGGGAGAGAGAAAGAGAGAGGGGGGAAGGGAAGAGAGAGAGAGAGGGGGGGAGGGAGAGAGGGAGAGGGGGAGGGAGGGCGACTGAAGAGAGGGGGGGAAAGAGTGACAAGGGGGAGAGAGACCAGGTAAGACAGCCAAACGGGGGGGGGAGCGATGCGGGGGTCTATGGCGTGGCGTGCGGAGAGAGTAACAGGAAGCAGTTGTGGATTTGAGTACGAAGAGCGTGTGAGAAGATGAGTATGAGGAAGAGGAAGATGCCTTCCCAACGTGTGTTAATAGAAGTAAGGGAGATAGCGAAGAAGGTAAAGAAGGAGTAGTAGAAGGAAGAGAGAGAGAGCATGAAGATTGTGAAGAGAGAGAGAGTAGGAGAGAGAGGGAATAGGTCAGTAGACAGAGAAAAAGAGAGCATGAGGAGAAAGATTAGGAGAGCAGAGAGAGAGAGTATCAGCGATCGAGAGAGAGATCCCTAGAGAGCACAATGGTAAAGACAGAGGAATGAAAAAAAAGAGAAGAGAGAGAAACACCGAGAGAGAGAAGAGCAAAAGAATGCCATTCCAAATTAGAATAAGATAGAGGGGGGGGAGAGATCTCACAATCTTCTATGATAGGCCAGCGTACTCCGATTCATTCATGTATCGTTATCTTGTGTACTGTGGTTGGTAATCTATACCAAAATATAAAGAGTATGTGATTTAAGAAGCGTTGTATACCATTTTTTACTGCTCGTCAAGATAAAATCCGATTCTTGTTAAACTTCTGAGAGGGCATATATCAATCAATTTATTATCCTGATCCTCTAAACTACGAAACGCACACATTAAATTATTCCGATTCCAAAGGTTTGATAAAAAAATTTAAGATGTTGGTGTCATCGCCATTGCTGCTGTTGACTGAAGAAATAAGTGTCGTGTACAAAATCATGCTTTCAAAATCTAAAGCGTGTATAAGTTCCTTCTCTGTATCAACATCATCAAACACGTGTGATATATTTATATCTTGCAACAACACCCAATAAGGTTTGTATGTCATATCAAACCAATAAGTTTGAAAATTGAATAATCGATCTGGTGGCATGTGAATTATTAACATCTCACAAGGTAGAAACAATTTAGATGAATAAAATTTGTGTTCATCCTCAAACCATAACCAATTTAAAACTTTGAGCTCGATATGTTCCATTTATTCTTTGAATTTCATATTTTCCATTTATTTCATCTTTGATTATCGGGCAGAATCCACACACCATAGTAAAATTTCTTTCTGATGGTGATGATGTTACTTTAAATGGTAGTTGCAATGACAACGATTTATCATTTTCCATCTTCATCATTTTGTTAAATTTACTTCTATGATCTCATAGCGTCTGTAGTCTGTGGTGGTGGCAACAACAAAAACTGTTAATAGTTGATGCCAGCAATAGAACAATAATAACATGTTTCGCCTAGTAAATGCCATCTTCTATAGAAGAGATTATATTATATATATATATATATATATATATATATATATATATAATATATATATATATATATATATATATATATTATTTATTTAACCTAGATATTTCATAAAAAGACATATCAATAATATTTTCGGTTTATTATAATTACAATGGAGGCAACTTTTTGTATTAAAGGCTAATAATTACAGCGTGAAAGCCGTGGTTTAATTATAATTTCTAGAAACATCTTGATCTAAGAAAAAGAGAGAAGAAGAAGAGGCGGCCACGGACAGGAATAGGATACGCACAATATTACACCACACAGATTGTACTTAAAGTAATTGTGAATGTGTGACCGCGTCGGACGAGTTACCAGAGAGGCGGGCGATGAGAGAACGGGCAGTACGTGAGGAGCGTTTGTCATCCAGGAGGACCAAGAGCTGGGAGCGCCGAGGTGCTAGCCAGGAGCACCCAAGGTAAGCGAAGTTATGCAGGTGGCGGGAACGGGGAGAAAGAGAGCAGACGCAGATGGAGGGAAGAACAGCGAGACAGTGCAGAGAGAAGGGAGGGAAATAACGAGAGAGGAGAAGAAAGTGGAAGGACAACTTTTGTATAGTAAGGGCACGAAGTATTGACACGTTACCATATGTGGGCGGGGAGACAAGAGACACGGATCAGGAGCATAGAAGCAAGGGTTAGGTAGGGGCTGGGACGATTGAGTAGAGAAAGAGAGAGAGAAGAGGGAGGGCTGAGAAAAAGCGCAATAAGAGCAATAAATAGTAGGTTAACAAGACATTTTTTCGACCCAAAAATGAGAAGAGAGAAAGGGAATGGGGAANCCAATATATCTTAACTTAGCTTCATCGTATAGTTGACTGAGCTGTCCAATATACAAGGGTGTATTCGTAGTATACGACTCTATCCATTCACGCTTTTGTTTTCTCTTTTCGAGCAGATTCTTCAACTGCTTTAACTGTTGCACAGTGATGAGCGTGTTCGTGGACTTCATTTCTTCGGGGAAGATATCACTGGTAGTGGAATCCGTTTCTTCGGGGAAAGAGTCACTGTTTACTTCGGAGAAGGAATCACTGATTGTAGAATCCAATTCCTCCATGAAGGGGTAATCTTGCTTGAGGAGGAGGAGACACATGGGACGCACGTACCCATTACTCCATTTCGATTTTTCCTTGAGGTTATTCAACAACTTTTGCTTGGTGTCTTCAAATTTACCATACTTATATTTTGGTTTTATCACGGTTTCGAATATACATCTTACAGTGCGATCAGCTTCACTGGCAAGAATAGACGTTACCCTCTCCTTGATTTCTTCTGGTGTCATTTCGGTAAAACACAAGTAGGGCCAAACTTCCACCATAGAGTCTATCACGTAGATGCTCGAGGTTCAGTCGGACTGCTGACGGCAAAGTAGAATGGGCAAAAATTCGATAGGCGTCCGACAGCGGCGCGTTCGTGCCGCTCGCCATGATCGAGAGACAGAGGCCAAAAAGGTAGCGCATCGTTTGCACTAGAGTGGTTTTAGGATCTCTAGGAATAGATGTAAATTGACTTTGCGTCATACGCATAGCCGATGCCAAAATAAACAGGGCGAGATTGCCAGCGTTGGGGTGACCTGCTTCAAAATCCAAGTTTTTCATCATACCGTGAATACCGTTCCTGACAATGATCCGCGTAAGATCAATTTTGTTGCCTTCTTTCGTAGAACGCCAATCGTGCGCCTCATGGTCTGTTCTGAAACCATGAGCTCTAATATTGCGTCGGAAACGGGTAGAAGTAGATATTGTTCGCAATATGTACATCCTGTACAGTTACAGTTATTTAACACACACCAATTAAACGAGAGCGGTGCTACGTCGGAACCCGTCGACTCGGGTAATAGACTATTGGCAAAATCTCCCCCGATGCTTGGAAATCTAGCGTTGATTGAGAGAAGATTCTCGCTATTGCCAGTGCAATGTGACATCATCATAGACTTGATACGAGAATACTGTGATGATATCGTATTGTCAACTTTATAAATGACTGCACCCACTTTTTGACAGTGGTTGCTCATGAGATCGTCTAGGTCAGTCTCGCAAGCAGCCTTCACGTTGGTCGCTATGGTATCACGACGTAAATTCTTTTTTAGAATATCCAAACTTTTGCTGCCTTGCGAAGAACGGGCCGAAGTGGTATTGTTTAGCGCAGCCAGCAACCACTCATTATCTTCAGAAGCGGTCCGGTAAAACTCCCATGCCCGGTTAAACATTTGAGAGGCTTCCTTCAGATTGCCACTAGATGCTTCGCGACACATGGTCGCTAACCATTTCTTCGAAAAGGGTTCGTTACCCAAGAAATTCTGGCGATGAAAATGTTCCTGCAAGACTCTGAGTGCACCGTCACGGCCGACAAGTAATTTAGTTGCTCGCTGCCGGGTGAGTGTCATCTTTTCTACAAGTCGGTTGACAATCGACCTCAATTCGGCGGCCGATAACAGCACTTCCAATTGACCTAACCAGAGCAGAAATTCAGAGCGTGGGATGTGTAAAAAATTTTCTATCATAATGGAGAATAAATGTGTGTTTACACGCTGGCTTCAAGCTCGATGACACATTTACCGTTTGTGTTGTATATTCGATTATCCTTTGCGGCCACGAGACCGGGTCGTAAGACCCGGCCTTCTTTCAGCACTGTTGACGGCAACACCTCATCGCCGTACTTCGTTCCGTCCATATTCCCCGGTG